GCAGGAATGAGCAGCACATGAACACGCAAAGCATGGCAAGAATCCAGGTTGCGGGATTCTCCAGTTTGTTTTGCCCTGAATTTCAAGAAAAAAAGAAATGAAGTATGTTATTTTAGCGCCGATTATTTTAGACACACTCTCACAAAAGATTCCATCAGCAGTTTCATGTGATTATATTCAGATCACAAATCAACAAGCAAACGATGAAGACTTGGTATCTAGAATTAGAAATGAAATGCAGAGCTTCAAGACCCATTTCCATGAAACTGACTTGCTAATTTCAGCAACCAATTTCTTCCATTTTGAGTGAAGGAGAGAACAAGCCGAGAAGCGTGAGGAGCCAGGCCCACCAGAAGGACGACACAGTCCGTCAGCTGCCGGCCCGAGAGACGCAATGCCGTGCAGCGAGCACACGACGGGTGCTCAGCACAGACACTGTTTGCTGATAATCTCACGCACAAACTGTTTGTTTTTCATTAAACCATTCTTCATTTCTGTTAATCCTTTCTAGCCAGGAACTGGATTTCTCTGGCTTCATGAACTTGCCTGTAAAAAAAGACATCAAACCCCCCTATTTCGCTGGTGAGCTGGTTGCTGATACCTTTCCTCGGGAAGAATTTCTCTACTGCCTCTGCCCATAAGCAGACGCTGGTATTTCTATCAAGGTCAACGCTTCTGTTTTGAAAAGGCATCGCTCAGTGACCACGACCATTATTTTGTGCCACATTATGCCACATAACAAAAACATTTACGTTGAACTGCGTTTTCCAAAGGCTGCCGAGTCCGTGTGTGCTTACGATAACTACCTGTCCTATGCATCAAGGTGTCAGCACTGCCATTGCCAGGTAATTGAAAGGACACAAATCAGCCAGCAGCAGGAGTGGTGGCTTTATTGGTGCTGTAGACAAAACAATACTCAATTGTGGACGGATTTGTTTCTAAGAAATGAGGAGCTGAGCCTGCCGTCCCCGCCGACGGCTGCGGTTGAGTGGCAGTCGCTGCGAGCAGCGCGGGGACGACGTCGTGAGCAGGCGCGTGTGATCCGTCCTGCGCCTCCGTACCACCCCGATGGGGGCACACGGTCAACCTTGCAATTACAAACGGGTTAGGATGGTTTATTTTGTCTTCAGGGTTACCACTTTTCTTTCAAGAAAATAAGATTTAGGATGTAACTGTCAATGAGTTATGCTTCGTGTAAGTTTTGAGGACGACTGGGGCAGCAAACTGTGGAAAATGGTTAAGTCCCATAAACAACTTTTAAACCTCCCAGCGTGACAGCCGGGAAGTGCCTCCATTCTCCAAACCAAAGATGGAAGGGTCCCAAGTCTCTTCCATCTTAAGTCGGTTGGCAAGGGCCCCAAAAAGGCATGATCAGGCAACACTACGTCTCACTGCAACTGGGAGTAAGGTGTGGGAGAAGCAGCAATTGCAGAGGCTGTGCTGTGGCTCTGGTGCTCCTCCTTGGGATTCAATCCGAGACGTGCCCGGAGGTAGCAGCCCGGCCCCGGGCACCGCTGCGAACCAGCACGAGCCCATGGACCTGCCTAGCGAGAGGTGTCCGCAGAGTACATGGAACGGAGGGAACAGACGAAACTTCCTCAGAGCCACAGAGCAAGTTAACAGCAACGCTCATCGCTGGCTGAAGTACGTGCTGAAACCCAGCGACGTATGCAGTAACCGGTCTTGTGCCAATGAACCGCAACAAGCCTCTAAAAACCCCTTTTCATAAGAAAAACTGAAGTAATTGGACCTATCCTTGGATATTTTTGAGATTTTAGTAATTTTTTATGGAAGACTAACTTGCTCTTTTTTTTTTTTTACCATCAGAATGAATTTTCCATATTTGAGATTTGCAGCGCATGAGTAGAGGCATCCATAACACCGATGTTTCCAGGCTCCTCAGTCATGGTCACGCTGCACAGCAGAGACAGGGGCCCTGAAAGCTTTCAGCCTTGCTGGGAAAGCAGAATGGGGACAGCACAAATGTGCTGTGAGGTGCTTCTCAGCCCCAAACTTGATCTGTGGATCTTTTAAACTGTGAACCCTGGCAGTGGCCATTCACACGCACCTACAGCTTCACTGATTTGATTCGTGTCAGGCTGCCGTGCGTAGTTAATGAGGGTGCCCAGCCCACTTGGCCACACTAATCATTTTTTATCTAGCTTTATTTGACTGCAATGCTTCTAAACAACCTTCTAGAGACAGCTGGTATCAAGGTGCAGTTTTACAACGCCCGATTTGGCAGCGTGTGGCTGCATTTCGCAGGGTTTGATGACCACAGCCCAAGGAAAGGATCCAGAATTGTGTTTCAGTTTGCAACCAAGTTGGAGGATCGTGGCCACAGGACGGGCAGTCGAGGCCAGTGCTTTTCTCAGGATACGGGCTCAGAAGAGGTCTACTGGTCTTAAAGCTGGTCTCATCCAAATATTTCCCAGATAGGTGCACGAGGCTAATGAACAGGCCCAGTTTTCCCAATTAATAAGAAGTTTGGTCAGCCCCCCAGCCCCAGGGGAGGGGTCAGGTTGCTGAGCCTCTCTTCCCCAGGGCTCGCCGGTGCCATGGAGCCAAGCGGGAAGGTCAAGGGGATGTGTTTGAGTAAGGAGGCAAAACACCAGCAGATGTGCATTCGCTAGCAAATAGATATGAGGGAGAAAAGTATAGTAAACAGGAGAGGGTAAGGGACTTTTTTTTTTTTTTTTAAAGTGAAAACCAGGAAGTTAAGAAATTCAAAAGATAAGAGCAAAGGAGGATGTCTAAGAAGAAACAGTTGATAACGTGCCATGATAAGGAAACTGTTATTTCCAGAAAAACACGTTCAGCGAGCAGGAAATACAGAACGAAGTGGGGCAAATTATCATGTTCCAAAGATGTTAAAACCGTGCTCTTTTTTTTCCCCCCCCCACAACATTTAAGAGTTCAGATAGCTCCAGTAAAGTAATAGTTGACATGATCACTCATTAACTTCCAGCATGAACATCACAATGCATGCCAGGGAAACGCATGGAAAAACTAAAGGCAACTAAAAGGCCTTACCTAGAACTTAGGCCTTAAGCTAGTTTAAAGTGGTCTCTGAAAACATAAGCATGTAAAAACAAAGCACTGCCTAAAAAACCCCTCCGTATGTCCAAAAGTTTGCTTGGGAGATTTTTTTTATTTTTAATGGAACGTACATTTAATGTCCCCTGGACATTAAGAAGTCAGTTTTTTCTTCAAATACCTATTTTCCTGGCTTCTATTAAAATTACTTGGTGTTGTGCATGCTCACGATTAGACAGCATTTGCTTTCCAACAATGTAATAATATTCATAACAAGACAGAAGCATGGCATTCTTACCAACATAAATAATTTCACTCCAGTCACTCCAAAATCCTCTTCTACAACATATGTGATGATTAGCTCTTATTTGTATGGAATACCTGCTGGTAACATCAATCCGTAATCTGAAGTCATTTGAGAATATTTGCAGTATCTGTTAGGAAAACAATATTGTACTGTTATAAATTACGTAAGACTAGACAATTCAGAGAACAAACTTTAATCGTGTTTATCTTTTTATTTTTTAAAGCTCCTTTACTAGATTAACAGTGAGCATCTGGCCTTGCTTTTGAAGTAAGAGCTCTATTTTTATAGGTGGATTTTCTCTCATAATACACCAATATTTCAGGGCAAGTTCTTGAAAGATGCCTCATTTTTGTATTTTTCCTTAAGAGACTTAATGCTGGATTTTCAGAATTGTCCATCCTCCTACTGTTCGAACCCAGATGCATAAAACTGAATAACTCCAATTTTTGTCCTTCTGCTTTCCTAGGTCTCTTTGGGATAGTTTGTTGCAGACATAAATGACATCCAGAAAAAGAGGAAAAATACAAAAACTGATGAGACTTTGGCTTTGCTGAACCATAGTCACAAATGGGACACATGTTTCACTAAAAGTCCATAGTTTCAAAAAATGTACTAATAGTAGTTTTTATTTTAAATGTTTTAAAATTTGCATAAAGGCACATTCTAGCTACGTAGGACAGTCAGCTCAGAGACAAGAATGCTAGGTACTACTTGGGCATCAGAGAAGCAATTACCTGCTTGTTACCTGACTTCAAGTTGAAGAGGTAAAATTCGTATTCAAAACACTCTTTACCGAAAGGAGAAATTGGCTTCTCCCATGTGGCCAGGAGATCATTTTGCTCTAAGAGTACAGTGACATTTCTGGGAACATTCACTTTCTCTACAAAAAGAAAACTGTACTGGTAAGTTATTTATAGAGCAAGGTTTAAATACTAACAATTGGAGCACTTTATAATCTGATAGTGTCTCCAGGTAGGACCTATAATTCTTGAATTTATTTCACATTTTGGACAGAAAGGATAAGGATTTAGGAGGAATAACTATACTGGGAAAAATAGTTAAGGGAAAATAGTTTTAAAAATCCCCTTAAAAGTTTTGGAAAACTAGATTACTGGGGGGAGGGATTTAATAATAAATTAATTTTCACAAAAGCATGAAAATAATGATAGAACAGTTAGAAAAACTTCTTTTCAGGAAAAAAACCAGATGTAACCAGAAAAGTTAGTGAAAACTGGAACAAATTCAAAGGACTGGATCAGCAGCTATTATGGGGATGATTTCTAAGAAGGAAGTGTGTCAACTGTTTTATCTTAGTGAAGCCACAAAAAAGGGAAATGTTATCTGCTTACAAAAAAGTGAAAAGCATGGAACTAATGAAGGAAAAGAAATTATTTGGGTGGATGAAAGATGATAGACAGTCATGGCTGATCCTACCTGACAGTCTAATGCCTTTCTTTAAAAGGACACGGTTATCTTGAACACCATGCGTCCTTTTCCTTTTAAAGAAAGGCTGTAAAATAAAAGGTAGTAAAAACTGTACTTGAAGGTATATTGATTAAATCAATTGAAAATGAATATTGGAAATAATGCTTTGGCTAACAAACAGAATAACTAATTGTATTTTCTAGCTTTTTATTTTTGTCATTCTATAATATCAAAATCGAAGCTAGTTAAACCCATCCATTTCTGTCTTACAGTCTCTTCCAATTTCATTAAAATGTCTATGCAAAACCAGCACATACTTTCACCTGCATAAGAACCATTCAATCCAGTAATATTTTCTCACAGATCTTTTGACAATCCTGCTAGACATTTTTAATTAAAAAAAAAATATATATTTCTACTCACCAATGGTATTTTGGTTAAATAACTGCTGAAAAGGTTTGATTGCAGCATACTTGCTAGACCCATTAATGTGTATTACAATGAGACTGTCAATCTCTTCAGGATCAATATGAGTCACTGAAAATCTGCACTCAGTATTCCTGTTCCACTTGTCTTTGATATAATCTTGACATTCTTCAGTGTACATCTCATACCTAAATTAAAATAGTTGTGAGACATGATGCTTTTAAAGAAATCCATTGCTGACTAAAATGGGAGAAAACACCAACCTGTAAAATAGAAAGTACTTGGTATCTTCTGGTGCCCCTTGGCCAGGAAGCCAAGTGCAATGGAGAGAAACAGTATGAGAAATGGTGATGCGAGTAACACAGGACAAATTAGTGACAGATGTCTCTGGAGCACCTAGAGAGTCAAGGAATTATAAAGCAGAAAGAAAAATCTTCTTACAAAAAGTGTAAGAAATTCATGTTGCTAAAACATTTTGATTACAGTCTTTGGTCCATTATATCTATGTCTATTGTATCCAATTCTTTTCCTTATCACACAGGTCTATCAGTTATGGAGGGATGAAGATTCCCAAACAGTGTAAGTAAAAGCTGTACCACACAACACCATTACGTATTTCATGTACACCTTGCAATTCAAGGCAACATGATCTTTTAATATCCTAGAGTGTATGAAAGTAGGTTATTGTAGTCTTAGCAAGGAATTTTTAGAAAATTTTATGTGTGTTATCCATGTTGTGCACCTCCAGATTGCACACCAGGCTCCACAGCAGTCGAGAAAGGCCTGGACTAAATCGTTTTGTAAGATCAGCATAGCCATATTTTTCAAGCATTAAACCTGTCACCTTTTGACGTCTAGTCCACAGACCGGGGCAGAACACAAAATTCAGACCTCCCTTGCATTTCTTTTTACCTGGTGGAGGCAGGATTTTTTCCTTCACCCAGTCACTTGTCATCTGAAGGTCATTATGGAGAAGTAACGTCCGAATGTGTGCGGAGAAACCATTGTGAAGTGCAGCTGTTCGGATACTGCGAGTCGTCTTTGTATCATACTGGAAAGTGAAAAAAAAAAATCTAATAAGCATCACATGTGATGGAAGCTGAATTAAGGGACCTGCAAAGACTGATTCAGTCTTCGCAAAGAGGCAAACCAGCCAGCTAGCTTAGCTGGTTATGTTAAGTGTATAAAGCTAGAGACTGCAAACCATCCGCACAAGAAGTGTGTAAGGTTTCTCATTTAAGACAGCAGGGCCCTTATCTTACCAAAAATTTGTCTATAGCATACAGCTGTGATGAAACATGATCTGACATTTTCATGATACCCTGGCATTAGTGTGAATTAAGTGAGCTGACCTGGACGGGGAGCAATATCGCTTAAAACCAGTATCCAGCTTCCCCCCCAAGACGAACGCTGCAGAGACTGCCAATTCCCAGGCTAATCCTTGTCCCAGCAGAGCTGCAGCCAGAAGCGTAGCTGGAAAGGAATCTCTCCAGTTCTCAGAGTAGATGTTTATGATATGAGAACAAGTGATTCAATATGCCAATCGTTCAAGAGACATCACACCCACTGCACCCTGGTTTGGTGCACTATGTTTAACTCAACAGGAATTTAACCTTCTGATGATACTAGACTTCTCTTTTATCTTACCTCTTCAGGCACAGGGCTTAGGATTTTCACATCGTATCTGATAGTGTAGTTTTTTTGTTCTTGATTAGGGTTTGGTTTCCAGTGTAAAAGTACTTGTGCTAATGCAGAGACTGTAAGGGTAAAGTTAACAGGTGGAAAAACCTGAACTGTAAGGGAGAAAACAAAAATATTCATAAAAGTAATCCAGTGAATTGCTTAGAGCAATGGCTGTTTGCAAGCAATGAGCAATACAAGCAAATAATTTCATTTCAATATTATAGTCTCTCAACAGCTTATGTTTCTAGTATTTGAAAAATACCTTTAAATAACAACCAAAACTTCATGAAGTAAGAGTTTACTTAAAACTTAGCTTAAAAAATGAATTTTTACAACAGTTTCTGCTTGAAAATCACAATGATATGTAACATTTGGCTTGTTAATTAGGTTCAGGTTTTTCAACTTGATCCTCATAGCCACACAGACACTGGGCATCTGTACTGAAATGGGGCTGATCAAGTGATCAACTGTACGAATAATTCTCACCCACATAAGCTTGCAGAAAAGCACAACGTGGGGGCTTTCTAAAAGAAGGCTGCCAGCCACAAGAAGTTATATGTGAGAGAATAAACAAAATGATGAACAGAGGAATTAAGCACAAATGGAGGAAAACATAGAAGGATGGGAATGATAATTTAAAGCGACAGGCCAAGAGGGATTCCTGGAGCTCATATGGAAATGAGGAAGATCTCATGCTGGGGGAAAATGTTAGCATATAAATAGCAAGGCAATGAAATAATCAATCTACTTCCCTCCATTTCTAGAGTTCTTCAGCGCCTGACCTCCCTTAATTGCACTCTCCAAGCCAGTTACGGGGCATCAGTCCCCACTTCGCTTCTCCCATGATTTCAACCTTTGATGCCCACTAGTTCAATTTTCAAGCATGCACCTTGCATTAGGAAAACTGCCTCTTAAAGGCTCAGAAAACCCCAACACAAACCACCCTGAACTGCTTCCCTAAAAATGGTCCTTGTTGAGATGCCCACAAAAAAATGTCACCATTACAGTTGTTGGTACACCAGGGTGATGCCAGCGATGCTTTGTGTCGCCATGTTTCTGCAGCTAACTGCAGTTTTGTTCCTGGAAATAAAATTGCTATCTGGAATAATGCCTCTGCTCTGGCTGGATTGAATTGTTGAATAAACCGGGCCAGGAACTACTGCCCAGCCCGGAGGGCAAGTGGCATGGCACAAGTTGCGTCTACACGCCTCCTGGTTCTTCCCTCTCAAAGCGGAACAGTCCTCAGGCATGGGCTGGGAGCAATCTGAGACGGAGTACAACCGTCCCAGGAAGCCTGTCACCACAACTTGGTCATCTGTGGTCCTGTACCCATGGCATGCCATGGACTGTTTTGTTCACATGTAGAACAGCACATTTGACCAACACATAGAGGGGTCTTGGTCATCCACTGGTGCTAAAACAACACACTGGTAGAAGGAAAATGCCTTACCTCCTGCAGCCCGAGGTGCGTTTCGCTGAACCAAGTTCGTTGCCCAAAGGAGGATCAGAAAAACTCTCAGCATGCTGGCCATCATCTTTAGATGGTAGATGAGGACAGCCATGTATCGGCTTATGTGTCTTGTCACCATTTTACAGAGGCCGATAGCTAAAAATGAACACAATCCCAAGTGTTAAGCACAGAAACCATGGAGCATGGTATATCCACACGACCAAAGGAATGAAACTGCCACCTTGCAGGGGACAGACTCTTCTCCTTTCCTTGCAGGAAAATGCATCTTGTCCTAGCTAAATAAGTACCACCAGCCACATTTCATTCCGCTCCCTTGCTTTTGCCAGCCCTCTTTGAAAAAGCTACTGGTTTCAAATGCTGTCACGTGTGGATGTTCAGAGCAGCAGTCGCAGACTGAGAGCATCTCTCCATGGAGAGGAGCGAGTCAGGTTGAGGTATATCGGCTTTCAGTAGGGTGCCATTTACTCCAAGAACAGAAACGACCATATTTTTAGCTGCCACTATATATAAAATAGCTACTTACTGGAATTTACTTTCCAGTTTCTACTTCAATAAAGCTCGCTAAAGAAGCCGTCTCAGTGCTCACCTCAAGGCTAATTCTCCAGTGTTAATTACTGGGTGTAAGAGAAACTATTTTGTTTGTTTCTGACTTAAATTAAGAACTATTTTTAATGCTTAAAACCAGCAAGTTCTTAAGCTTCCTACAGATTGTTGCATGAAGTACTGGGAGAAAAAAAAAATCTGTGTGTAATCATTCATGTATAACCTAATATAAACAACATGGAAATACAGAACAGCAGCTTTCCAAAATGTTCTTACCGAAGAGAAATACGCCCTCCCAGCCCAATCACACTACTTCCCTGGGGCACTACAGCAATTGCTTGTATGGAAAACACAATATTTTCAGATGGTAATGAGCAGAGAAAGCATCTTTAACCCATCAGTTCTCCCTGAACCTCCCATAAATAACCCAAGGACTGGAAGCACTCCAATTGATCACAGTTGGAGTACTTCTGCTATACAGTAACTATTTTTCAAAATGGTGTATGAACACTGCGTTCATTAAAATGGCACATAATCTACAATGCAGTGTGTTTCTTAATGTCCAAATCCACTCATTATCTATATTCATATTTTCTTTGTATCTACTATTCTGCTAGCTAAAATGTGCATGAGGCTAATTGAACCTCTGGAGTTTGCTAATGGATTATTCCTGGGGAGTCAGGGTTTGCTTTTATGTATGGCAGGTTATTGAAAGACATTTTGGTTCTTCCAAAATGTATGTGAATCACAACCAATCGGGTAATTATTATTCACACCGTCCATTTATGGCTACACAATGCCTCCAAGACTATTTCCTGGTGCATTACCATTCATGAAAAGTCTGTTCTTTTGGACTTTCTCTCTTGAATACCATACAAACCTCTGCTTCACAGGATTATGTTATTCTGCGGACTGAACACAAGTTTACAACAGCACCTTATCCCTGACCACTTCTGCCACACCTATACTGCTTTAGCTGATAAAAACTAATTAAAAAACCCGCTAGAACACGACACACATCTCCAATATGCTTTTGTACAAATTACTGGCATCAGGCTTTCTTTTCTGCTTCAAAAAACATCGTACAGCTCATTTACCTGATGAGACTATTAAATACACGAATAACATTTTTTCTCTATTTAAAAGTAAAAATTTATCAACTTCAAGTCCCTGAAAATAAAAACCAGCTTCTCATTTTCATGCTAGCAATAACCGCAGAACAACTCTGCCAAGACGCAACTGTGAACTGCACAGATGTGTGTGCATGTGCTTTTATGCATGCGTGCGCATCTGCGTTCCTACCTGTCTATTATCAACACCTACCACGTTCATTGCGGCTCTCCCACCGACCACCTACGACTAAAACCAGGAGCTACGAAGCAGTTTCACGTAGATTAAGCTCTTGTAATGTGAACCAGGTACCTCGGGGAGCAAGGCAGGAGAACGCACCAAAGGGCATTCCACTGGCATAGAAGAGAGACGGAGGGACAGGCTGTGCTTCCCCAGCTGCAGGCAAAGCTTTATCAGGTACAACTACGAGAATTTGGGAAAGAAGCTTTGCTAGTTCCACTGCTAAGAGAACTCACTTCTTTTAAAATAAAAAAAAGCAACCACTTCAGTACATTATTTAAAACAAATCTTCAAAAAGCCTCATGTTTTACAACTGCTTAGGATTTACATCGACTAACTTGAGTAATGGCAGTACGTTGGTTTCAGGACTGCTCTGGCATTTAGCACAACTAAAAAAGCTGGCTCTCTCTTGGGTTTATTTAAAGTGGGTTTGGCTACCTATAGATTTTTTTACTTTGTCCTCAAAAAAATAAGGATTCTGATTCTTCCTGGGCACATTCTTTACCCTATACTTTCAAAAAGATCCTAAAGATCAACTTTTCAAAGGAACTTTTGCTGTCTAAAAGCATGCACATATTAGACAGAGATCTAACATCTTCTGAGCAGCAGTTGACCGATTTGTAACTAGACATAAAATGTTACTGTAATGCAGACTAGGTTTCAATTATTATCCCTGTCTTTCTTATCAGTTTATCTTTTCCTGCCTTGTTTTCATAACTGCTACTTTTCTTTTTCTTCCTATCAGACCCAGATTGAAAATACAGCTTTTGGAAGAGGTATTTCCATAGCTGTGTGAGACCACAACCTGTAAGAACACCTTGCAGTCTGTGATACCCTGTGCGTTTCATATGAGAAATTACTGAAAAGAGAGTAAAAATAAGTGTATTCAAGTAAAGATGTTAACTGGAAATCTACAGGAGGATTACGTTCCTCACAAAAATGGATACAGTAAGTTCTCAGGACAAATAAAAGCCTCGATAATATTGTGTTTTGGTTATATATGGTAAAAAGTAATAAGCAGCAGGTAAAGGATATATTCCCTTCATAAAGATTATACTCCTTCTTAAACGACAGTAGAAATCCAAACCATAGAAAGCAGCCTCTAAACGGTAATGATTTTCTTACTTATAGCTGACGTGCCCCCACTATCTCAGAGGCAACTGGTCAGAAGCAGATTCCAGATGCACTTCCCAGTGTAAGGCAAAGCTGAATTTGAAAAGCAGGACCTTTGCAGTCTTCAAACAAAGCACAACAAGACAAAAACAAATCGCAACAGATATCCCAGGAGGTTACCTGCGGAGTCTCAAAAGTTCTGTGAAGAGTCTGCTCCGTTTGTTCGAACGTCCTCTGGGTCATCTCCCTGTGGGTTTCTTTTATAACTGCTGTCTTTCAAGTACAAATGTGATAGGTACTTCAGAAATGATGGCAGATGATAAGTTAGACAAGCATGCATTGAAAAAGGGAACTACAGGTTTAACCACAGGATGGAAGGCTCCATGCAAGCACACAGTTTAGCCCAGAAATGGTTTTACTTTATTTACTGAGGGTTAATTATACACCATAGTCTGATTAATTCTCTAATAACTTTGCAAGAGCAGGAACGTTTAATGACTGACTGCAAAGAAATAACCTATAGCCAGCTACCTGCGGATCGCTGCTGATATCCCAAGCTGTCCTTCCCACAGAAAATCAAATCCAAACATTGCTGGAAAACTGTGCAGGTTTTGTCCAACGTTTTTATACCGTCCTGTCCAATGCTCCCGCCGTACTGCCGCGTGGACATCAGTGGTATTTTGAGAAGTTACCTGAACCAGAGCAAGACCAGCTTCCTAACCTTGTGCTGAGAGCTTTGAGCTGTGATCCACAGGGTTGGATACCACTGGCTCAGAAGCAGGACAAGCAGCAGAAACCAATGCAAGGGCCGAGAGAAGACCCTGCAGAAAGTGGGGCTACATGTAATGGAGTTATAGGAAGGATGAGAAGGTGGCTAATGACTTGCATTCATTAACAATCTGGATTGCAAGCACCAGAGAACCCTATTAAATGTGCAGGTGACACAAGCTGAGAGAGGCGAGTGCTTTGGAGGCTAAGACTACAATTAAGAAAGTTCTTGAGAAATTGGTGGAAATTGGGTGCAGTTCAATATTGGACAAGCTCTCAACTGCATTTAGGCATTATCAACTGTAAGTTACTAGGTATAAATAATCAATTATCAACTGATTAGGTGTCTGTTCCACAGAGGAGGATCATAAACTGAAGAGGAATAAACAATGTCACGCACTTGTGAAAAAGGCGGGCCCGGCCAGCTAAAAGCGAGTGTCCTCTGCAAGACACATGAAGTAATCCTTCCGCTCTGCACAGCGCTGATAAAGCCTCCACTCACGTGCGCCGCGTCCCGCTCAGCGCAGCAGACGAAGAGAAGCCAGTACACAGCGAAGGATACTACCAGAGCCTAAAAAGTACCGGTGAGGAAACAAGTTAAGGGAAGGCTCGTGCAGAAATGTAACATGTGAAGGCTTTCACATGCTCTGCAAGTCCATTGGGCAGGGACTAGAAGGTAACAAGTAAAATTCAAGTTAGATATCAGGGAAAGCTTTCGGTGTTAGGGATAGGGAGGCAGCAGAGCAGGCGCCCGAGGACTGAAAGAAACTCTGTCGCTGGGCATCTACAGACCAGTATCAACTCGTAACGACGGGTGTAATCAAATCCTGCCATCAGGCACAGAGATGAATCAGGCGACCCCCTAAGGTCTGGCCAGCCCGTATGTCTCTGAATAAACAGCTAACTACTTGGCAGAGACCTCTGACGTGTACAGCGAAATGTTTCTGTAGAGAAGAGGTAATTTCTAAAGGTGAAGAAGGAATTTAAGAAGAAACAGTAGTCACAAAAAAAAGGGTAAGAAAAGGTTCTGTTCTTACACAGGCCTGGCTATATTATTGTAGGTCTGAGATGGGTTTTTTTTGGAATAGGTCATTCCAAAAGAAACACTTTTGTGCTCATAAGCATTCTCCTGCCTGCAGTGAGCTGCAGCTTTGTCAGGTGCTGAAAAGGCTGGATAGATCTGTGTAACGTTTCTTCCCAGTTACCAAGAAACCCACAGCACTCTTTTTGCTGAGACAGAGATTTATTCAGGCTTCAAAGGGAACCACACTCCCAATTAAGTCGCAT